TCTGCACAATTCTCTCTCTTCTGCACAAATTTCAGCCACACATTTTTTACTTTTCTTATTTCTCACCTACTTTGCACTTGGCAAAGTCCACCGAGACGGAGGAAATATTATATTTGATAACTATTAAGCTTTAGGTTCAGTTTTGTAGATAGGGGTACACTTCATTCCGGAACTAAAACTGTCTCGAACCAGTGAGGTAAAAGACCTGTTGATGTGTGTTTCGAACACAGTCTGGAACTGGTACTTGGGCCCAGCCAAACCACCTGTTGTTCTAGCTCCAAAATGTGATCGGTTTGGTTTTGTTTTCTTAAATTTTAAATATGTTAAAAACTTAAACAACATTAGTATTAGTAAACGGACATTTACCCGGAGATTCTGGTATTGGCTACGGTTAACCACCTTTGAGGTGGTTCAGTGGTTGATATGACTTGGATTGTTGTTATCTCAAGGCTGCAGTGTCTGTAACGGTAGCGGGTAGAACCTGTTTAGTTGTTTTTATTTTTCTTTTTAGTAGGATCTCTAGGTATTTTGGGTTGCCATTGTTCTATGTTTGGTCACACTAGCCATTTTATTATTTCCCAGCATTTTAGTTTTTTTTAATCAATGAGTGAAGTCTCCCTAATGAAAGAGTGAAAGAAATCAACAATATAGCAATTGCATTTTTAGGTATTTTGGTTGAGAGAATGAAATTATTTAGACGTTTGACCGTTAGTTTACAAATGCGGCAAGATAAAAATTGCTTGTACTAGACCAGATAGGTTTTGGTATGCAAGAGTGCCTGGACATAATATCAAAGGTGATCCAAAAATCCAGAAAATAAGTTCTTCCTGGATATGATTTAAGACTCATTGGCTGATTCGGTTATAGTTAAAAAACAATTAGTCCCTTTTCCGGTTTGGTGTGAGACTGAGCACCTAGTAAATTGATTTCAGTTTAGCATGAAGCACATTATTAGCATCATATTGCTGCTGCTTAATATATAACATTTGCAATAAAATCGAAAGCTGAAACGAGTCAATTTCTATTATGAACACCAAAATTATTATTGATCTGAAAAATTAGGATTATATCATACTATTCTCTGATAATACCCTGGAATCCATCCCTATTAGTACCATGGAACCCTGGAATTCTTTGTTTCTTGCACTCTTTGCAATTGGAGTTTTCTCATTGAGTTGGGTAGTATCTTTTTGGGGGTGTTATATTAGAATTAGGATCAGTGCATGGTATAGGCTCATTAGGGGAAAGATGCCAATGAACAATTTATTCTGGAATTGATTGGACTAGGTTCAGGTGCTTTTGGTAGATTCAGGTATCAGATGACGGTCTGGTGGCTAGCGCCTTCTAGTACACTAGCTCTTAGCAAGGCTACCTAATAATACTCCGTATGCTTGAATATCAAGATTGATATGAAAGGGGGTGACAAATTGCGATATGTGTAACAATATGATTAGCAGTGTATTTTAATTGTACTGTGTTTTTTAAAATTATGGTTTTTTAGTCTTTAGTAAAAATTAAAAAGAGTAAAATGCAAAAGATACACACACACATATAGTTTTAAAAACCAGTAAAATATTCAGTCCTTACTCAGTAAAGGTATTATTACTATCAAATGGTTCATGTAAAAGTGTAAAACTAGGTTCTTTAACACAATTATAGGTAATATTACTTTTTAATACCTTTATATGTTAATTGATGTATTTAAAATTATATGGCTAATGTTGTTTACGCTTCCTCCCTCCAAGAAGCAAATTACCAGGCTTTCGTCTCCTATTTGGTTTTAGATTTGTGATACTTTAATGGTTGATCACTTTATGTGTGGTATGAGTATATTAAGTTTCATCACTTGTAGGACTGTGATGCACACTAGCTCTCTGTATGATGTTTGAATTTAAGAATTTAAACATGGTTAATGGTTATACATTTCTAAATGCTTCATTGCTCTTTTTAATGTGTTGATTGAGGCTTGTGCCCTTTGCCTTGTCCCATTATATAAAAACTAGAGCCTCGGGGCTTATCTGAGTGTTGTAAAACATTCCCTACTAGACTTTCAAAAGCTCGCCTGGTACATGGTCTGACTATAAGATCTGGCAGTATCTTTCTGCAGAAATAGAGAAACATATTTTTGCTGATGGGTGATGTGGCAAAGGATTTGAGCTCAGGGACTGTTGGAGGGGCAGCACAATTGATATGTGGTCATCCTTTTGATACTATTAAGGTGAAGCTACAAAGTCAACCTGCCCCACTATCCGGGCAGGCTCCCAAATATTTGGGTGCCATGGATGCTGTGAAGCAGACAATCGCTGCAGAAGGTCCAAAGGGTTTATATAAAGGAATGGGGGCCCCACTTGCCACTGTCGCAGCCTTCAATGCACTGCTCTTCACAGTTAGAGGTCAAATGGAAGCATTGGTGAGATCTGAACCAGGCGTTCCCCTTACTGTGGGCCAGCAAATCCTTTGCGGGGCTGGAGCAGGAACTGCTGTTTCCTTTCTTGCTTGCCCGACTGAATTAATCAAATGCAGGTGTGTTTTAATTTGCACCATACATAAGAAAATGAATTTCCTTAGCTTTTTTTTTCATTTCCCAAACACTTACTAAGATCCAAACACACCTAAGGGATCAGTTATGAAAAGTGGTATTATTCTCTTAACTAGGTTATTACAGAGTATTTTTAAATGAAGTATTCATATATTCCTTTTAGGCAGTGAAGGGGTATAATGGTATAATGGTATTTGGATTATTGAGGAGTTATTATTCCAAATGAGTAGGCTAAAATGCATGAAGGAATTAGTAATTGAAATTATGGTTCCATTCCTATACCAGATTTCAACCTGATTTATGCAGCCTTGCTTACGTAATAAGTACAATATGATTGTACAAACTTGGCACTGAATTTTTATAATATATGGAGTATAGTTTAATTTTGTTCTTGAATATGAATTCGGTTGACCCAATGCCTTTTAAACTGTTACACTAAGGGTATGTTTGGATTGCAGAAGAGGGTAAGGGAAAGGCCAAGGAAAGTTATTGTGTATTTGAGGTTTTACCTTGGATTGCAGAAAAAGCCAAGGGAAAAGTGCCAACAAAAGTTATTTTTGTACGTTAGGCTTTACCCTAGAGAATGCAATGGCAAATGAAACAATGTTAATATTTAAATTGTTTGTACATATATTTAGATTTGTTAGTGTTTATATAATGGAAAAATAAATAAAAATAAATTGCCCTATTAAATAGGAGTCAAAACGTTTGTGAATACCAAAATAGGACTGTCACATTTTTATTCCCTAAATACGAGTAATGCTGCCATGTTTGGCATTATTAGACTTTAAACATGGCACCATTTTCCAAGCTTGAGAGTAATTACTATTCTCTCTATTATACCCATTTTCCTCCAAATATCATTTACTTCCAATTTTTCTCCCTATGGTCCTTCCCAAGTAATTTCCGAGTTCCAAACTGACCCTAAGCTACCAAATGACTACATAACTATATTTTCTGCTGACAATGCAGATTGCAGGCACAAAGTGCACTTGCAAGTTCAGTGGGGGCCACGGTGGAAGCAGTGAAGTATTCTGGGCCAATGGATGTGGCAAGGAAAGTTCTGAAGTCTGAAGGAGGTGCAAGGGGACTCTTCAAGGGACTTATCCCCACCATGGCCCGTGAAGTGCCTGGGAATGCTGCAATGTTCGGTGTCTACGAGGCCACAAAACAGTACCTTGCTGGCGGTCATGATACTTCAGGGCTTGGCAGAGGCTCTCTGGTCATAGCTGGAGGCTTGGCAGGGGCCTCATTTTGGGTTTTTGTATACCCAACCGATGTCGTCAAGAGTGTGCTACAGGTTGATGATTTCCACAAGCCCAAGTTCTCGGGCTCAATCGATGCCTTCAGAAAAATCTTTGCAGCGGAGGGAGTAAAGGGCCTTTACAAGGGGTTTGGACCGGCCATGGCTAGAAGCGTTCCGGCAAATGCTGCTTGTTTCTTGGCATATGAAGTCACTAGGGATAGTTTGGGGTAATAATAGCCTTCTTCAACTATTGATGATTCTTTGTTATTTTTTGGCATTAAATTACACGCTTCCAATTTACATAACTTGTTTTCAGTTACATGATTCAAGAATCCTAAATAGTAATCCAATTAATTGCCCCATTGATTTGAGATTAAATCTTAGTTGTTTTGTATTTGAAGAATAAGTATAAACAAATAAATAAAAACATGTATGCAATCCCTGTTCACATACATTGTGCTAAGTGTGGTTTCTTTTAGTGCACCAATTTTTCATTATCACAAAGCTTAAATCACAAACTGCAACAGGTTTTAACTCATAATATTTAGGCATGAAAATTTATCGCAGTTTCTATATATGTTTATTATCTAAAAATGTACCAAGCAATCGACAAGTTATATCGACCTGTTGTTATGGACGAGCTCATTAACCTAGTTTAACAAGATGTGCCTTGTCGCCTTGGTGACCAACTTGACATCTCTTGAGGTCATTACCGCTAGTGGTATTCTGGTATAACAATCATATAGTACTTCTATTTAAAAAATCACATTTTCCTTACTCCTGTTTGTGTCGATTTCTTTTAAAGGAACTATGCATTCAAAACATGCTATGATATAAAAAGTAATGTTGGTTTTGCATGAAATTTATGTTGTCTATGCATTCAAAACATGCTATGATATAAAAAGTAATGCATTATTTGATGAAATCTTAGTTTAGAATCTTTAAATGTATGCTTTGTGCTTACATATATAAGTTGGTAGAATCCATGGTGCATACCATGGCAGCTCAAAATAGTGAAGGATTGAGAGTGTATAACATCATTGATGGTGATAAAGGAGGCTGGAATGAGAGCTATATTCGGGATATGTTTCTGCCCAGAGACGTGGAGGAGATTCCTAGCATTCCTTTGGTGCGCCAAGGTAAAGAAGATACACCGGTCTTGCAATTTGATAAATACGGCCGCTATACTGTGAGAAGTGCATACCGAGTATGCATGGAAAAGTTGATAAGCATGGAACATTTAAAACGTGAAGGAACCTGGGGGGATTGTGGAACTTGGCTGTCCTGTTTAAAGTCTGAGCGTTTCTTTGGCGGGCTACCAGGAATTGTCTGCCAAATCGGATGTGCCTTCGGAAAAAAGGAGTTGCATGTCCGTCTTTATGTGTTCTGTGCGGAATGGAAGAGGAGCATAATTGGCATTTGTTTACTCAATGTGGTCTTAGTAAAAAATCTTTGGAAATTGCAGGTCTTTGGCCAAAGATAGAGGAAGCTTCACACCAGGTGGACGGTTTTAGTGAGCTGGTGTGGTTGCTGCTGCAGAAACTGGAGGAATGGGAGTGCAAAAGGGCTGCTATGGTGCTATGGAGCATTTGGCGGGCTAGAAATGTCAAACACGTGGATGGTGTGGTAGAGACTGAGCATCACATTAATATGAGGGCTGCAGACATACTGAAAGCATGGGAGACTGCTCATTATCAAGGGCGAACACCGGATATAAATGAGAGAACTAACGATGCAAGATGGATACCGCCGCCAAGTTCGAGGGTCAAATGCAACATTGATGGTGCTTTAATAGCAGGTGGTCGATTTGTGGGGGCAGGTCTTTGCTTGCGTGACCATATGGGTAAATTTCTTGGTGCAAGAACGTCTTGGCTTCGAGCAAGAATGAGTCCTAGTGAGGCGGAAGTGTGGAGTCTGCTACAAGCTCTATTGTGGATGGAAGAAATGGGCCATACAAAGGTTGAGTTTGAGATGGACTGTAAACAAGTTGTTGATGATCTAGACTGGATAAAAGATATCCTTCCGAGTATGGCGCCTTGATACAAGAATGCAAAACAATGTTACAAAATCGGAATGAATATTTTGTCATTTTTACTAAACGGCAAGCCAATGGTAGTGCACATGCTCTTGCTAAGGCAACCTGTTATGCTTCCCGTCAAGACTTTTTTCATCCTCCGGATTGTATTCGACATCTTATTAGTAATGAAACGAATTAATCTTCTTCTGTAAAAAAAAAACTATGAAGTAGTTTATATGATGAGGAATTTCTCGTAGTATGACCATAAAACATACGAAGTAATTAATTTCCTTAAATATGACTATAAAAATAATATGACTAAATATAATTTATAAGACAAAAATATCCTTTTATGTTCTCAAAGATCTAAAACTAAAATACTCCACATTCATTGTGTTTTTCAAGTTTACCGCTATTCACACCCATTAGCATAGGTATAAATTTATGTTCTCAGAGATCTAAAACTAAAATACTCCACATTCATTGTGTTTTTCAAGAATATCCCCTACTCCACCGTACGTGGGAGCCTTTGCGGCACTAGAGTGATGATGATGACTATATTTGGTAATATTTGAGTGCTTGCAATTCATTCTTACTTTATTCACACTTCATCAATTTAATATTAATCACACAACTCCACTTTTGTTAACAATCACACAACTCCCCCTTGTCTCAATAAAGTATAATATGTTATTCATATAGTTCCCAAAATAAACATGTCAGTCTGATGTGATCCGATATGATCTACCACGTTAACTCTATTTCTGTGACATCTGATCTATTTAAAGTTATATTTAAAATTGAAATAATCTTTTTTTGTTTGATTTGAAGTGACTTGGTCTAATAGTATGAGTTGATTAGGTCTGATCGAACTAGATCATAAATAAATAAATCAGATTAAATATACTAATGAATTATAGAGATTTGGATGCTCTGCCGCACGGCAGAGGTGCCTTGCCAATCTCACGGCAACAACAATAGGGGGAGGAGAGAGTTATGGGCTGCCAAATTTAAATCATGTGGACGTAATAGCCACACAGCCTACCTGATTGTCAAAGCTAGGCAACATTCAGATCTAAATTAAGACCATATTAGTGATAAGAATGAGACTAGATCTTTGGAACAAAAATTTTGTTCGTATACTCTTTTTGTAACACCGTCACCAAATATATTTACTTTATTGTAAATAGTGTAATAATCCTTTTGGAATGAGTAATTAATTTACGAAGTTGTAAATTTTTGTTGTTTCTTTCGCGCGAATAGTAAATTGCACGTGGGGCCCACACCGGGAGCGGGGGCCGCCCGACATTCCCGAGACCATATATTTTATTCATCTTGGTCTAGATAATAAATATATAGTGGTGGATATTTCATTTGGGCCATGGAAAGGCCCAGAGTTGACCGATTGGTCAAAAGAGGCCCAAAATTACCGGTACTGGTAATTTAACAGACACAGCCCGAACTGAATTTTGGAGGCTTATAAATTAAAGATGAGGAATGTATATTCATTATAAATGTCATAATGAGTAAGAGCACATAATATATTTTATTTGACCCAATAAAATAAAATATATTTAAAACAGTCCGTAAAATACAACTTTCGGGACTGATTGTACACTCCGGGACAAAAAGGATTGACCTCCCACATGAGTGGGGGCCAACCCACGATTTTTGCCACTCAAATTGAGGGCTTGGCCGGTTGGAGTGGAGAGGAGAACATGGGGGGGATTGTGATGTGATCAATAAAGCATCAAACAAAAATGAGGTGGCCCCCATCCACACTCATTTGTTCAATGAGACAAAGGGGTAAGCCTCACCTCTCAATCTCCCTCATTTTCGGCCAAGGCACACCCAGGAAGAACAAAAACCCTCCAGTCTTTCCTCCATTGTTGAAGAGAACTCATCAAGGAAGAATCACACAAAAAGGAGTTAAAGTGCTAAAAGTGTGAAGTAATTAAGGTAAGGACCTTATTATAACTTCTCCTTTATTGTTCTTCTACCATATGAGGTATATATCTTATGAGGTACCCTTAGTATTGTTCTACATGATATAAATGTTGAACAATGGGTTGGAAGATGGTTCTAAGTCCAAAAACGGACTTAGAGGCCAAAATAACCGGTTTGCCGGAAAATAACCTTTTTGAGGTTATTTGTATTAATATGGGTTTTACGATTATAAAACCTTGTTAGGCACTTGTAAAGGGTATTTCAAGTGATTTCACAAAGTTGGAAAAGTCGCCGGAGTTGTCGCCGGAGTTGACCAAAAGTCACCGGAGTTTCACCGGAGTTCAACCAAGATGGGTAGAACTTCATAACGCTAGTTCAAGGTGAGTGGACGGCTTAATATCTTATAAATTTTGGGTTAATTATGAGATTACCTAAATAAATGTTATATGAGTTCATAATGATGTTTAAAAGATATTTAAACATGTGATTAGCCAATAGGGTTAAGTTTGTATGAAAGAAATTAATTGTTGATGCATGGAATATGATATGAAGAATTATATAAAATGCATATTTGTTTGAAGTGTATTAGAAGCACAAATGAATATTATTAACTTAATTATATGATGATTGAGTTGATACACACAAGGCATGAAATGGCAGTCAACGAAAACGTTGACCGATGGATAATGGATTAATTAATATCGGTTGATATTAGTTAATTATAAATTTATATAATTGCATGGATTGCATGTATTGTGATACATAAGCTTTATGTATTGAATTAGTTATGAATGACTAAGTATGATATAGACTCTATCTAGGTTGATAGGAGGTTGATCATAGGATTATATTTTGGTGGAGGACCCTAGGACTTAAAAGTCCTTAACACTCATATTTTGGTGGAGGACCATAGGAGTGTAGGACTTACAAGTCCTTAACACTCATATTTTGGTGGAGGACCCTAGGACTTAAAAGTCCTTAACACTCATATTTTGGTGGAGGACCCTAAGACTTAAAAGTCCTTAACACTCATATTTTGGTGGAGCACCCTAGAACTTAAAAGTCCTTAACACTCGGATTATAAATAGGTGGAGGACCCTAGAACTTAAAGTCCTTAACACTCGGATTATAAATTGGTGGAGGACCCTAGGACTAAAAGTCCTTAACACTCAAATATAAATTGATGGAGTACCCAGGGATTATGATCCTCAAAACTCATAGATTATGATATTGAAATAGGGACAAGGAGGAGTCCTATACACTCATAGGTATATGGGTGGGTTAGGGTTTTTAGTCAAGAATATTGACTATTACTATTTTCCCAAATAAATCGGTGATCTACGGATCGGATATTTTCCAAGTATATATATACTAATAAGTATTTCATAACTTGGGGGAAAAGACTATTTATATAAGTATCACCCTATGTTCGGGTCTTATACTTGAAACGCTAGTTATTCTATATTTAGCCTGCTACTCGCTCAGTACTTGTACTGACCCCTTCGGGGGCCACTATTTTTAGGTTGAAGCTAGGGCTTGCTACTTGCACCTTCTTACGGATGATATCACTTCAGGAAGACGTGGTTCGTGCTTCCTTATTTTCTTTCAAACTACCGAACACATGCTCATGGATATTTGTTCTACTATAAACTATTTTTGGGGCTTGCATGCCCATGTTGTTGGCCGGTTATGGCTTATGACTTACCGTTGAATATTTCCGCTATTCATTGGTTTAAATGTGATGTTGTTATGTATGTTTACTACTGAGTATGGATGGATTATTTTCTCGAACGCCTTGTGTAAGTAAGTGAGGTTGACTCGCGTGTGACGTCACTTGATTATACGGCGGTTGTATACGCGCTTGGCTGGATTGCGGTCTGGGGCGTGACACTTTTATACACGCTTTTATACCCACCATCTGTGAGAAGACTTTTTCTTGTCTGTGAAGCCCGTTCACAATAAACAAGTCATGTGTGTTTGTGAACTAGCTTCACAAAAAAAGCCTTCTCACATATGATAGATATAGAAATGTGTATAACAAAGGTTTCTTTGGAAATTATTATATTGCTTTTGTTGTCTTGAGCCGCCACCATAGGTATACTACGTAGATATCATCATAGAATGATGTCCTTCCCATTCCCACTCACACCCACAACTAACGTACAGCCAATTAGACATGCCTGACTTCGAAAGCTCCCATCCCATACTTTTTTTGAAGAAATCCCATCCCATACTTAATTCTCAAGAAAATCAAATCAAAACTCTCAAAACTAGCTAAGCTTGGACCAAAATTAAAGCCACTCCCACCCCATTAACCCTTTCTTGCTTCTGATCCAAGTGATATGATCCATCTCATCTACTAGCTATATTGCTATAATAACATGTAATTTCATATACTGCACGTCTGTTTTTTTATGCTGGAGCAAAGAAGGGAGGAACTTCAAAGAGAGGTTTGTATGATAAATTGAAGGGTCCACTGCATGAATCTTGTTCAAAATGAAATGAGATCTATTATAATGTTTTTATTTCTGTTGAATTTTGTTGGTTTCGTCTCACCTAATAAAGGTTTGATGCATATACTACGTATATTTTACTATTTATGTCCTTCTCTAGTCTGATCTAATTTAATTTGTTTAAATTTAATCTAATCTAATTTGATCAAAGAGTGAAGCCAATCCAAATCCTTTCCAACAAAATAAGTAAAGTGAGAAATGTGAATTAAAAGATTAACATTATCGCAACTACTGCTACAAATTAAGAGCAATCAATTTGTTATGTAATCACTAAGAATGTTTTTACTTGCACTATAATCTGTCTTAGACCATACCAAACCAAACCAAATCAGACCAGTTCAAACTAGATCAAACCAGACCAAACCAGACCAGACCAATTCAAACTAGACCAGACCAAACCAACAAATTACAGTTCAAGCAAATACATCCTAATTCACAATTGTAAATTTGCAACTACTCTTTATGTAACATCATTAATCCGTGCCCCTCTAAAGTTTTCTCCCCTTCCATATCATCATGTACGTAGTACTCCATATTAATTATAGATGAGGTTACGTTGTGATAGGAGTATAAATAATGTGCTTATCTCAACTATGAGTATTGTTTTTTTGTTAAACAGAGTGTAACTAATGTTATCTTGAAATCACATTTGTGTTATTGATGGTGTTATATCAATCATAATATATGTTTTCTTTTTAAATCAATGCATATATAATGGTGTTATATCAATGCATAATATAATGCATAATATATAACA